TCCCCCGGCTGCGCGCGCCCCGCTAGCACCTAGATTAGCCGCTTGCGTACTCGCTTAGCAAGAGCCGCCACCGAACGGCGCACGAGCCCCCGGCGGCGCCGGAGCCCGGCCGCCGCGCATGCCGCCACCCGCACCTCGCCGAGAGCCGCCGCTTCCCCGCCATGCAGGTACGGATTCTTTCTACCGTTTGCCTTGCTGGAGATTCTACTACACTCTGATTTTTTTATTCTATGGGTTTCTATAAAAAAAACCAAAAACCAACATGGAGTTGCCGTCAAGACGTGACAGCCGGAGCGGGCGCGCGGCGGGGGCCGTGGCTGCGGGACGCGCCGGCCTGGCCCCGGGGCCGCCTGGTCGCGCTCCGCGAGCGTTCGAGGACGTTACGGAACCGCATCTACCCGCCAAAGGCCTAGCTCCGCTGGGCACTTTATTTTTAAAAATGCTCTTTTGTTGACTGAAATGTGAGGATACTCAAATAAAGGCAGAACGACCGCGTTTGAGGCCTGCCCTGCGGGGCTTTGCTCCCGCGGCCCCGGCCCTGCTCCCCAGCCCTGCTCCGGGAAGCCGGGACGGATCCCCGCTCCAGGGGGCTGGGACGGATCCCTGCTCCGGGGGCTCCTCCAGCCCCTACCTGCAACCTGCTGCTCCCGCACCCACTGCTTCCCCCCGTCCCCTCCTCGGCCCGGGGTGCCCCCGGCTCCTTCGCGCCCCCCGGGCCGCGCTCGGCACCGTCCTCACGGGGCTGATCCAGCTCCCCGCAGCGCCCGGCGCCGTGCCCAAGCGCCGTGCCGGGGGGCTCCCGCGCAGGCCGGGCAGGGAGCGCGTTGGCTACCACTTTATTGAGACGAAGGTTACAAGCCGCGTTACCGCTAAAGTGCATTCTCAGTCACCGTGGAGGAACCACAGACACAGGGCTGGCGCGGGGCGGATGCGGCGGGCGGCGTGGACAGGACAGGGCTGGGGAGCACCGGGCTCCAAGGGCACAGCCTGGGACCAGCCCTTCTGCCCGAGGGCCCCCAGGCTACAGGTGGAGAAGGTGCAATTTAAAGTGCTTGGTTTTTTTTTTTTTTAAACCCTTTTTCTTTGTTTGCATGGGATGCTAAGGCCAAACCCCATCTCAACCGAGAACATTTCCCCTTTTCTCCCTGGAGCCAGTGACCAGAGCGCGAGAAACCCCTTTGTTAGGAGCCCCCCTACTTAGGAGGCCCCCTCCTCCCCGCTCAGCCGGTGAGATCTGTCGAGCCCTGCTCGAGCCCAGCTAAGCAGCGCCCAGGAGCTGCTGCCAGCAGGGAGGCCCGGAGCCCCAGGGGATCTGCTCCCACAGATCCAGAAGTGTCCAAGGGGAAACTCGTTCCTCTGCTGCTTGCAGCAAATCCTCTCTCCTGTTCTTTGTCTCTGAGCAGCTCTGATCAGCTCCTACCAAAAGTGACTTTTTGCATAGTACTGCTCGTAGCCCCATGGCTGATGCCACACGGACTCGCTGGCAGCAGCTGTGGGGCCAGCGACTGCTGTGGCCACACGTGCAGGCGCGGGGCCAAGTCTCTGCATTTCCAACCACGTCCCTGTGGCCTCAGCGACAGGATGAAACGTGCAGCAGGAGGCAGCAGAGGCCCAGGGCCTCCACGCTCGGCCCTCTGCACCTTGGGGCAGGTGCTCCCTTCACCTGCTCTTCTTCCAGCCGCTGGTGGAAAGTGGAAAGAGCCTCTGAGAGCTCCTGGCAGGTCCTTCTCCAGGCCCCAGTCACCTCGGTCCACATCAAGGCAGTGTCCAGCCCCGGAGGCCACCGACAGCATCAGGCTCTGGTGCCTGCGCCACCTCAGGGCTGGGCAAAACTGCCCCCGGTGGGTGCAGCCACCTCACGCTCCGTGCCCGAGCAGCCCTGGCCCGTGTCGGGATGGAATGTAGCACTGGTGACACACAGCAATGGGAACACTGGCAGCAGTCATGTAAGCGTGAAGCAAACATGGCATTGCTTAGAGGTGCAGCAGCGAGGGGTGCCGGGGCCACCCAGCACCGGGCCTAGATGATATCCGTCTCCCTCTCTATGCCAACATACTTCAAGGCATCTGCCTGGCTGTACCTGTAGGACAGGAAAATCACGGCTGCTGTCACCATCTCCTGTGCTCCCTGTAAGCGTGTGCACATATTTACAGACATAAAACAGTCTCCACCCCCACAGCACAACCCCCGTGTCACCTGTAGTCAAAGAAGAGCTCCTCTCCCGCCTGGATGGCCCTCTTGGCGAAGATTCCTATCCGATGGTCTCCATTCACCATCACAACTGCAACCAGAGAGGTGGGATCAGAGACGTGCAGCCCTCCAGCGCAGGCTGGGAAGCCACACGCGCTTTCCCCATGCCACGGCGACCTGCCCACCTCCAGGCCACAGTACCCAAGTGCCTGCCTAGCACGGACAGGGCACCTCTGTGGGGAGCAGCTACATGCCCCGCCGGCAGCGGCCACCTCTCTCTGCGGAGCCAGGGCCACGGCAGAGCTGGGCAGGGCCCTCAGCAGCACAGATGTGATTTGTGCAGAGAGAAGGAAAATTCGTCCACGTCTTTGAAGTCCTGCTGCTCTTCTGGACTCAAGGAGACTCAGGACCTTGGCGAGTCCTCTGCATTCCCAGAGCTAAGCAGGATTCCAAGACATTGTTTTACCTAACAGCATCTGCCCGGGAAGGGATATCTCACCTTTGGCATAGCAATTGGGGTTCACAGAGTGGTTGGCAAAGCGGATTTTATTTCCTTTGCGTGTGGCATCAACAACAAAATCTGTTGAAATAAAAACAGAACTCTCTGGTATCCTGCAAAGACAAGGCTGCTACACCTGTGACAGATGGGCAGACCCACGTGCCCACCCACCAGCCTCCCAAACGGTGGGTACGGGCAGGAAGCGCAGGCATCTCCCACCCGCTCCCTCAGGCATCACCCAAGTTACCGTTGTTGAGGTTGAAGAGGAAGCTCGACATGTACTTGTCATAGACCTTGCCTCGCCGGTCGGCCTCATCCTGTGAAATAAGCTGGAGAAGGAGACTGCTCTGAGGGGGATTCAGTGGCTGAGGGCACAGCAAGGACCTCTGTGTGGAATAATAGCTCCTGGAAATATCCTCCTGCCCTCCCACACTCATGAGGATTCAGGGAGGCTCAGAGGGAGCAGAGTTTGGCTGCTGGCCTCCCAGACAGCAACACGGATCGGGGGACACTCCCCTGTGGTAGAAGAGCTAGACATGTTGAGGTGCCTCCCAAAACAGAATAGCAAACAAAATTCAATCCCAAACCCTGTCAGTGTGAGCCCTTTGGCCAGACCACAGCTGACCTGGGTAAGATATGACCCCCTCGAGCAGAGGCTGAGAAGCACCCGTGCTAAGCACCCAATCACACTCCTAATTGCACAGCACAGCAGCCCCAGCAAGCGCTCCCAAAGGGCAGCGGCACTCACCTCACCGCAGTACTCAGAGATAAATTCATTCTTCTGCACGGATTCTTTGATGAACGTCCCCCAGCCAGCCACATCAGAGGGTGCCAGCAGCAAATGCTAGAGCCAGGATGACATGAAGATGGTCAGGGTCTGCAGGGCTGCCACCTCGCGCAGCACGAGCAGCCCAGGCGCTGGCAAGCTGCACGTCCTGGCGCCAGAGCGGTGCCCGGGAGCAACCGTGCCATGTTGCCTGCTATGCTCCTCATCCCAGTATCACCATGTCAAATATTTTAGGAGAAATAAAATGGGAGTAAGTACATATCCTTCTTGCTTATGTAATTCTCTCTCTATTTGCACATTCTTAACCCAAGCTCCCAAGTAGATGCTATAGAAACACGGGCAGAGCAGCTTCTCTGCCCACATTCCCTCCCTCTTAGGCGGCCGTGGGCAGCCCACCCACCCGCTGAGAGATGAATTCATCACCAGGCTTGAAGCAGCCCTGGCCCTGCCACTGCAGAGCTGCTGCCAGTACCTTTTTGAGCCCCCGCTGGATGCTGCAGTTCTTGCAGGAGACCACCTTGCAGTCCCAGTGCTCGGAGGCCCCGCAGGTGAGGCAGAGGTCCGGGTCGCACTCCCGCACTGCCAGGTAGCACGGGCACTGCTTGGTGTTGCACTGCGTTTTGCAGCGGCACCCTGGAAAGCGGTTCTGACCTGCACAACAACCCACAGATGAGGGGGTTTTCTTCAGAGTACAAACAGGACGTCGCTGCCCAAAAGGAAGCTTCACGTGGACCAAGTCACACACACAGCAGGTTCTTGGGACCACGTGTGCACCATGACCAGCAGCCACCTCGGTAACACGACGAAGGTGCCTGCGAGCTTGGAACACACTTTACATCCCACTGCTCTGGGCCCTGAGTCACCCTCCCGCTTCCCCGAGGCGCCACGACAGGGCTCGCTTAAAAAAAAATGCACCGGGACAGACAACGTGAAGCAGCCAGAACACCCAGCTGATGACAGCAATAAATCACAGAAACAAGCAATAAATCATGGGAACATTCTCTGTGCAAAGGAGCTGGGACACACACACGCCAAAAAATAAGTATCTGACAAAAAAATATAACCTATCTCATCAGTATAGACAAGTTTGGAGCCTGAGTTGGTGCTCTGCCACGTTACAGTCCCTACAGACCCCAAGCTGCATTCTAACCCTTAGGCAATTGACCCTCAGAAGCCCTCGTGATGTGGGTAAGCGCTGCTGTCTCCATCCCAGGAGTGGGAATGCAGCTTCCTCAGCAAGGAAGGGCGACTGTGGCAGAGCAGGGACCCAGCTCGCTTCCTCATTCCAGCCACACACCTTCCCTTCAGCAAGTCAGCAGCATCACAGATGGCTTGGTGATGCTGCATACAGACATGAAGACAAGCACTCTCCAATGAGAGAATGTGTTTCCTGCTCCTGTAAATCACGGGCAGCACAGAACATACACTTTCCCTCAAGCTCTCACTTCGACCTTAGCAGACTGCTAATCAAACTGCTGCAGATGGAGCACAGAGCAGTGATGTGAATGCAAAAACAATATAAGCCGTTGGCAAGTCCCACGTCTACACTCTCCCTCTGGTCTTTGTCAGAGGGCTGGCTGTTATCACACGTGATAGTCTCAGGTTTTTTCTTACAGTCAGGGTTGCACTGGCAGAACTTCTCACAGAAATTCTGGGTCATGATGCAAGGACAGGAGCTGTCACAGGGGTGTTCAGGGTGGTCACAGGGCTGGTAGTTGTACACCTGGGTAGGTGAGTTATCTAGAAATAGAGCAGAAATGCCATGATTCAGGAGCAGAAACATTTCAGAGCAAGATGCCCCAGGCTCTGGAGCAGGGAGCGTGCAAGTTCTCCTTTGTCCTGCAGAGGGCAGGGAGCCCAGCAGCAATGCAGCAGACACCGGGGTGTGATTACTAACCCATGACACATGTCCGCTTCGCCCGCGCACAGCCCGTTTTGCACAGGGACTGCACGCCAAGCCTCGGCCTCCCCTAGGAGGGGAGCAGGGCTGGACTGCACGTACTGCCCCAGCAGGAACACTGGCACAGCGGCGGTTCACGTGGAAGCGCCGCAGCCGAGCTCGTCCCGCCGCAGCCAAGCGGGGCCGGCGGAGGGGAGCCGCTCTCCTCCCTCCACGCTGCCGCAGCTGGAGCTGCCAGGCCGCAGGGAAGGGCTCCACTCTCCCGTGGTGGAAGTCAGAACCCGAGAACTGGATTCCCGGGGTGCGCGGCCGTGTAGACAACTCACAGCACAGCCACAGCCAACGCTACCTTTCTTCAGCTGAATCTTCCTGCAGTGCGCAGCCCACAGCCTGAAAGGGAAGCAGAGGGAGTGTCTGAGGGGAAGGCACGGGCTTCCAGGAGGAACGTGCAGCCAAGACTGACTGTTCCCGACATTGCCGCAGCGCAGCGGCTGCAGAGAGGAGCTTCCAGTGACTCTGACAGCTTCATGCATTAATAACTACCAGACAGCCAGAGAAGTAGGAAAACAGGAGAACGACACAGCTAGAACAGAAGTTACTTAAGGTGAGCGCTAAAGCAGGATAGTATCCTGGAACAGCACAGCAGCTGGATAGACTGGGACCAGAACAAAAAAATAAAGTAGGTTGCGAGTCGGGGAGCTTAGAGGAGGCCACCGTTAGGGTAATAGGACTGGTCCTCTCGCAGCACTGGGCCCAGGCAGCCACCACGCTGCCCTCTCCTCCAGAGAGAAGCCCGTGGGCACCAACCCACCCAGCTTGCTAAGTAGGGCAGCCACACCAGGGACCCCGGCCAGTTCCCAGCACAAGCAGCCCTGTGTGACACTAGGAAGCGGGTGCAGATGGGAGCCAGATGGGGATTACCAGGAACACTTTGGCACAGAAAGCAGTGGATCTGGTTGCACTTTAAGAACAAAACAAGCTTGTCCAACACTTGCCTGTGCTTCCTTTTCTTCTTCTGGGATGGATTCATTAATTCGTTTGTTGGCAGTTTTGTTATAAGTGATTCTTTCACCGCAAACTGAAAGACCTACCAAAAAACAACAGAAGCAAAAAGAAGAATAAAGTTCAGGGCACTCGAGTCATTTTTATCTAAAGCATGAGCAGAGAGAGCACAAGGAAGCAGGCGCAAGAGGCCTCCCGCTGACTGGACCAAAAGTGGGGCAGTGCTGCTCCCAATTTCACTGGAACAGGGGTCATTACTAATTGTGCTTGGAAAAGACGACCCTCCACCTTGCCAGAGCCAAGCCTCAGAGAGGGCACCCTGGAGAATCCAACAGCACTGCACATGTGCAGGGCTATTCCGTGAGCAGCAGCAGTTTGCAAAATAAAAGGCTGCAGCAGAACGAGGCTGGTGGCAGTCGCTGTTTTCACCATCCCCAGCACCTGCATCCAACAGAAAACCCCGCCTTGCACTGATGCAGCACATTCCCCAAGGTGATTTGTGGCAGAGAAGATTAAAAAATAAATACAAACAGCAAGCAGTGGCAAAGGCCTCCTTCTGTCCTTGGGCCACGTGCTGCAGCGCCTGCCTTGTGCCCTCCCAAGCAAGCCAGGCCGTACCTGTTTGCACGTCTTGGTTCCCAGCAGCCTGGCGATGGAGCAGAAGTTGTTGAAGTAGGTGCCGTGGAACACGCGGAAGAGCGACTCCTCGGCGCCCGTCCACTCGACGGGCTCCTGCGGCGTCTCCACCGCGAAGAGCTGGGACGAGGCAGGGCTCAGCTTCTGCTTGGTGGGCGTCTGGCAGCGGGAGTTGGCCTCTGGCGGGAAACGCGGGCGTTAGGATAATGCAAGGGAGAAGACCCCCTCGCTGCCGGAGCTGGCTGGGACAGCAGCCCCTCCGGAGGCGCCAGGTCCAGCCTGCCTCGCTGCCTCGTCCCACACGTCCCGACAGCGGCGCAGGGACAGCCCCACGCACGGCAGCCTCCACCTCGCAGTCCTGCCTCCAGCCTGGGGCCTCGCTCTGGACGGTGGTACTGGCCCTCTGGAGCCAAAAAGGCACCGTGTCACCTTCCCACTCGGAGACCCAGAGTCACGGAGCCTCCGAAGCAGGACAGCAGCCGCAGGGACAGTCTGAGGATGAGGAAGCTGTTCCCTGCTCTCCTGTTTGAGGCCTCAGCCCACAGGCATGTGTAGCCAGCATGGTGGAGGCCTGGGAGCACCCCGGGCAGCAGCAGCAGCTCGGGCCTCATCCGCTGCACAGAGGCCGGGGGAAGCGGTCGCTACGTGTCCATGGCCAAGCACTCGCCTCGACAGCTCCCAGGCCGCTGCTCTTGGTGCCTTGGCACGTCCAAAGGCACAGACTGGCCCTGCCTGGGCAGCCTGCCCTGCTGGGGGCACTTTCCTCACGTGCAGCCGGGGGGAAGACTCGGAGCTAAGAGCTCTTGGAGCTCCCAGCAAAGCGCTTGCTCTGCTTGACAACATGCCCTGTTCCAGCAAGAGCAGAACTCCCGCAGCAGCAAAGGGCAGAGCCCCGTGTCCCTCATGTTTATTCAAGGCCAGCTGTAAACACCAGCTCTGTTACTCCGTGAACTCCACACCCCCGGTGCACAGACCGAGAGGCAAGAAAGAGGGAGCCCCAGTCACAACGGTGCCCGTTTGCTGCTTCTGCTCGTGCTGCTACACGGGAGAGGGGTATCTCTAGAACGGCATCATACCCGAGGAACTAGAGGCCCACTCATTGCCTGTGTCTCTGTCGCTGTCTCCCTCCCTCGTCTCAGCAACCGTGGACGCCAGCGTGTTGGAGCAGGAGGCGCTCACCACATGGTGCCTCCGGCGGCGCCGGCCTGAGCACTTGGACCTGGGGTTGTGCAGCGCCGCAAACTCCTTGGCTCCTTCCTGCAAAGAGAGCACAACCCAGCACGAGGTGGGTGGCACAGAGCTGGCACATAGGCTTGGGAGAAGGCCTGCCACCAAAAGAAGGCAGCCATTTGTAACTGGAAAGGCCCTGCCAGCTGCCTGCCACACACATTTCTGCTTGGCTTCCTTCTGCCTCGCTGCCCGGTAAGAACTGGCTCCCTGTCCAGCTCCAATCCCCCTTCTCCACCTTTTGCCTTGGCAGCCTGGCAGGGAAGTGCTTCTGGTCTACTCTGCTGCAGCCCTGCAGACATGTGATGAGGTGTCCAGCATCTCAGCCAGACAACCAGTGGTGACACCATGAAGTGCACCAGTCTCCCTGCAACCAGGTCACCATATCTTTAGTGTGGTTCTCATCCCTGAGAAACATTGCTAGGTTATACCCCTAAAAGAACATTTTTAAAACTGTTAGAGCCATCCCACATATAGTAGTCTCCTTCCACCCATTTTTAACCTGGGTTTCATTTTTTAAACCCAGCACTGAGTCCAGAGAAGTCATTTAGCATCATAACTTCCCATAATTTGCTTGCTATGAGAATAGTCTTTGCTGAGAATTTGCCAAGGAAGGTTTCAAGCAAGGTTCATCCTTTACTTGCTGCTCCACCTGAATCGCTTAAAGATTAGGACTAGTTCTGAAAACCACCAAAGTTGCACTAAGGCCTCAAAGCTCTGCAGCAAAGCTGGCCAGGCCCACGTCTCTCATGGTCCCAGGAGGAGGGATGCAGAAACGTACCAGCCAGAGGAAGCAGTCTGCCCCGCAAGGGTCTGGCTCAATCTTGGTCTCTCTGTTCTTTCGTTTGTACACATTAGGAGTAGCATGAAAAGCTGGGAAAAAAATAGTTATCTTTACTGCTAGCATCCTCCCACAAGAGGTTCCCCCATGCAGCACAGGACAGGGACAACACTAGATGAATGAAGGAAAGAGGCTGCACTGGGGGACTGATGCTGTCCCAAAATCCCAGAGTGGCTGAGGTTGGAAGGGATGTCTAGAGATCATCTAGTGCAACCCCCTGCTCCAGCAGGGACACCCAGTTGCATCCAGGAGGGTTTTGAAGACCTCCAGAGAAGACAACTCCCCAGCCTCCCTGGGCAGCCTGTGCCAGGGCTCTGGCACCCTCACAGTGAAGAAGTTCCTCCTCACATGGAGATGGAACTGCCTGTGTTGCAGCTTGCACCCACTGCCCCTTGTCCTGTCACTGGGCACCACTGAGAAGAGCTTGGCCTCTTCCTCCCTACATTCCCCCTTCATTTACTTACAGATATCTTAGCCTCTCAACCTTCTCTTCTCCAGAGAAAACAGGCCCAGCTCACTCGGTCTCTCCTCATACGAGAGATGTTAAAGTCCCTTAAGCATCTTGGTTGCCCTCCGCTGGACCCTCTCTAGAAGCATCACGTCCCTCTTATACTGGAGAGCCCAGAACTGCACTGTTCCCAGTGCTACAGGAGAAGCTCTCCTAAGAGCAGAGGACAGTGGCCTAGGACCACTTGACCCCCTCTACTCCAACGGCTCAGCAGCCAATGCAGAACATTTGGAAAGGACAGGCAGCTGGAAAAAGATTTGTGTTTATATTGAAACAAAAAGACTATGCAGTCATAATATTCTATCTTTTAAGAAATTATTCACAGGAGAGAGTCTTATGACTTTCCAAGAAAGCCCGTAGACCTGGGAAGCCGCAGGCCAAACAGTTAACCAGTATCCATGAGGTTTTGGCAGGGAAAACCACGGGAATATGACTAAGATGAAGCTGTAACTTCCAATGAGGCAATAAAGAAAAAACGAATGTAACATTCATGCCTTCCCCTGAGAAGCTCCTGCAAAATAAGAGTACAGTCTAGTCGTGGCCGTATGTCTGCCACAGACTGCCAAGAGGCTCCAGTCCAGTGTGCTGAGCCACTGTGAGGCAAAAAGGACTGACACACAGACTGGTTTACCATCCACCTGGGGAAAGCAGTGGAATTGCGTTTGCAAATGGTTTTTTGGCCCCTGACAGCCCCTGAAGGCTGCACTGCCAAAGGCCAGAGAGGCATCACCCTCTAAGGACTGCAGCAGGGCCGCTAAGCACCGCACAGAGAAGCGTAAAGCACAGAAAAGAGGGAAGAGAAAGGGGGCTCTCGGGCCGCACGCAGAGGAGACTGAACTTACGATGCAGAAAACAGTCGTATTTGAAGCAGCGCCGGCAGAAGAGCGTGTGGAAGGAGTGCAGGGATTGCTCCCGCTGCACCGACTTTGCACAGGGGCCATCGATGTTGGGGGTGCACTGCGGGGGCAGCACATTGGGGTCAGAGACTTCCGTAAGCTCTCGGTACCTATTGGAAAACAAAAACACTGAGCATAGAACCACAGAATCATAGAATGCTTAAGGTTGGAAGGGACCTCAGAGATCATCTAGTCCAACCCCCCTGCTCACGCAGGGTCACCTAGAGCACGGGGCACAGGCTGCATCCAAGTGGGTTTGGAAGATCTCCAGAGAAGGAGCCTCCACAGCCTCTCTGGGCAGCCTGTGCCAGGGCTCTGGCACCCTCACTGGTAAGAAATTTTTTAAGTTCTTGTGGAACTTTTGGTGCTTCAGTTTGTGGCCTCTTGTCCTCTCACTGGCCACCACTATCTATGGCCAAAGATATGCATGCTTTCTTATTTTGGGAAGCATTACAGGGTTATACATACTACTACAGATCGGTATGACCCTGTCTTAGACACTTTGAGGCTAAACTGAACTAGTTGTCAAAAAAATCTTTCTGCTCAAGACACTCCCCAGCACATTACTTTCCAAAGCCACAGAGCTCTGCTTTTCAGTCAAAGCAGCATTTTGGTTTTGTTTTTTTTTCAGTGAAATACAGACTTTAATTGCTGTTCACAGTTGTAACAGACAATTTAAATGGAGCTCTTCTACCTCTCTTTCATGTCATCCGGGAAGCCATATTCAGGAAACATGGAAGAAATCGCAGTGAAGATCATGTCATTTGGAAAGCGCTTCTTAGAACACTTTTTGTTACCTAAGAAAAGGAAAGAAAAAGAGACAATTCCTCAGTTAAGCTGGACTTGAGCATCACAGAAGATGCCTTTCCTTTTCCAGAGAGAGAGATTCTAGTAGGTGTATATTTTAAGAGATAGAAATGCAATCACATATACAATGAATAAGCCTTATTTGTGCTGCAATTAGGTTAAGGCATTTCCAGATACAGTACACTCCACCACTTCCTGAGCAAAGTAGCATAATGTATTTATGGAATTACCAACCATGTTTTCTAACAGAGTATTACCACTTATTTGTACCAAAACAGGATGAGACTAAATAGGAAACCTCTGTCAAATGTCAGGAGAGACCTAGAGAGAGAAAGGACTCTACTCAGGTTGGACTTTATTACTGGATGATTATTCTTTATTAACTTAGCAAAGTGCTAAAAAGAGGAGGTGATGACCGTAGAATACAAATTTATAGACATTTTTGTATTTCTGCATTTACAAAAGGTCCTGTTGTTTTTGTTATTCATATCACTGTGAGCCAAAGTAAAAGAAGCAGCCACCAGTCAGCGCTCCTGAGGGCAGGCAGGACACAGGAAAACCCCACAAACAGCTTCTTCTAGGCAACATAAACTCCAGATGGCACAAGAGAGGAAAGAGGAACACAAGTACATGGAAAATGGGGCCAGAAGGGATTTGAAAAGGTCGCCTGATCCATCTTCCTGTCCTACAGCACAGTGAGACCTGCCTACAGGACTACTGGCAGCTGACTGCCAGACCTGCACTTTAAAACCTGCAACTCTTAAGTTTTTGCACTGCCTTCCCTGGGAAGCTGCTGGAGCTTCTTCCTGGAGCACTGCTCTGCTAATCTTACCATTAACTGGCTTTCCAGATGTCTCATCTTAATTCATCCCTGCTACAGTTCAAGCTGGTGACTTTTATTCTGTCCACAGGGGAGAGTGAGAACAACTTTCTCTTTTCAATTACTTTCCCCAAACTTGCCACTTTGGCTGCTACCTTTAATGACACCTTAGTAGTCAAAATAGTGATGGCAGGAGAGCACTGCCCAGTTACCCAGGGAGGCAGCGGGACATGACCAACACTGCCACAGCTTCTGTGGCCAAACCCACCTTCTGCCGCGACTCGTTTCCTTTTCCTTGTGACTGGCAGCTCCTCCTTCCCGTCCTCCTGCTTCACCTCAGGATCGTTGTGTCCTTCCTCTTCCTCATCCGAGTACTGATTCAAGGCGTTCACCAGCTCCAGGAACACAGCATCGCTGATGAGCACGGATCCTGAAATCATTTCTGAAACACAGCAGTCAGCACCATCACCTCGCACCGTCTAGCCAGAGGACGATGTTAGTGACTAGAACCTTAGTAATTCTGCAAGACAGGAGTGAGGAAGAACTGATCTTAATGCAACAGACCTAACACAGGGGTGAATCATTTTTAATTATTCAATGATTATTCTCTTCACAGATGTTCATTAAAGAAGTCAGCTAAAGAAAGGCCACCACAGAGTGTTCTGTATGGCCTTCCTCCCTCTAGGCAGAGCCTTATGATAGGCTAGGTAGCTCTGTAAGAAAACACACTGGCTTTTCATCTCTGTAAAGCCCAAATTAAGTCTTAGCTAGGATTACAAGTGAAATAATTGTTGGGCTCCTCCTACCCTCTAACACACTTGTCTACATCCCAGAACAAGCCTGGGAATCCTTGCAAACAAGAGTGTCTGCTCCAGAGCATCCCAGGCCCAGAAGAGAGCAGGATATCAAAAGGCAGGACTGTGTCTGTGAAAACTAGAAGAGCAGGCAAGTTCCTGCTTCTCTACTCTCAGAGAAAAGCTGGTTACTGCTGCCACCTTTTGACTTCTTAACTGCTTTGATAACATATTTGCAAGAGTCTGGACCATTCTGTGTGTTCTTGGTCCCAGGTTACCTTCCTCTCCATGAACTTTCCCATCATAGTTATTAATAAGCTCTTCGATGAAGGTTTCGTCTTCTTCCTTCACCTCGTCTCCCATGTAAGGGATATTGCACAGAACGGTTTCATCCTCCACCTGCCAAGAGATTGGACACAATTCAGTAACAGAGCACTTGCCGATTCCCTGTGGGGCTGCGTCTCTAAGGCTGCTCCTGTCCATTTGCACGTGCAGACAACACAATGCTGAGCAAGGTCCAGCCTCCCCAGGCAAAGTTTCAGATGTCTCCTCACGGACAGTTCATTGTTACCCTATGCCGAGAGCGTAACTCTGACCCAAAAAAGCACATTTTGCTTAAAAGGGAACACTTATCACACCAAGGCTAACTCAGAAGCAGAGAAGTGGCCAATAATAATACACAGCCCAAAACGGCAGAGAGATTGTGAAGAGAACTTGCTGAAAGGCCAAACGGTGACTCGTTCCCAGGCGGGACACAGCTCCTGCATTACCAACACTCTTGCATCACGACTGCTCTTGCCACACAACGAGCTCTCTGTGGCTCAGGGGAGTCCTGCATCTTGCAGAAATACACTCCCCCAGATCAGAACAGGGGCAGGTTAGGCACAGACTAGCTCTCTGTTTAGCACATCATCTTAACAGGGCAGCCAGGAAGGACGGAGCGGGGCTGCGACACCAGAAGCTGTAGGAGATCATTCACTGCACCGCGTGATCAAGGAACTAACCCTCAGGAGCATCCCTGCAAAGGGGGCAGCAGGGTAACCCAGTCACAAGGATAGGATCTACCTGCCCAGAAATAAAACTCTTCATTTCAAGTGGAAGAAAAATCCAATTAAGAAATGAAATATTCACACTTTGGATCCTGTGAAGTAACAGTGACCTATCAAGATGTCAGGTATAAAGGAGAGACTACAAAGGCAAGCTAGCCTGCCAAGAAAGCTCTTGTGTAGAATTCAGCAAAACAAGCAACTAAAATAGTACTTTCCATGATCTCTTGAGCAGACACGGTTTGGAACACGTGGACTGAATAAGCTATAATCGCTCCACAGCTGTGTAGTGATTACACATTAATCTCTCAAAGACCTTGCACCAAAGCACTTTCTTACATACCATGAAATTCTGCTGAAGAGGGGACCAGGAATACATAATAGGCACCAATGCCACTGTGTTCAGGGTTCTCATGTAGAGCGTCTGACTTGGAAATCCTGGAAAAATGCTCTCAACAGTGCACTGGAATATAATCAAAGAGAGGGACAGTGAGGGAACAACCCCTGCAGGCACAGCCAGGAGGAAATCCCGCTGGAAGACAAACACGCTAAGCCCTGGGCTTGCTCACGCTGAGGCCTTGATTCTAAAACCTTTTGTTTTTACAATATGGGAAAGAACCAGGCCCAGTCTGATAGTGACATCTGGCAACACAAAGCAGAAAGATTAAGGATCTTCAAGCCCCCTGCAAAGCTGCAGTTCCAGGCAGCATCTGTTGCTGCTGTGCTGCTTTCGCTCTCTGCTCTGTACCTGCTTCAGGAAAGGGTGTCCGCTGACCGGCTTCATTAACTGCACGGGTTGGACTCGAAGCTTCTTCCAGTCTTCATTGAGAATTTGAGTTTTTTCATGAACTTTCACAAAATTGGCCACAAACAGAGCCTGCAATGAGAGAAAGACATACTCGAAATGTTAAAATGCGCTAGGATTACAAACTAACATGCAAGATTCAGGCAATATCCTTTCAGCTAGAACCACCCTCATAATGTCTTTACCTTAGCTCCCATATTTGCCTGAAATCTCTTGAGCTGACGAAGACGCATATATTCTGACTTGACTTTTCTTTTCCAGTATATAATGCACTTGGATGTTGCAGGAGCAGTGATTTCCATTTTTCTATATAAAGAGAGGGGGGAAAAAAAAAATCAAATAATGGGGATCTTAATCTTATAAACAAGTGATATTAAAAGAAATCCATGCGGATTTTAAACGCGCCATAGACTCTGACCACCAAAAAAATAATTACATAAATCTGCGCTAGTCCTATTTAAGGAATAATTACAGTAAATTGCTCGGAAAAGCCGGGAGAGCTTTTGCACAGAAGAAGATGCTCTACCCTAAGCAAGCTTACAGGGATGCAGCTGCTCATGCCCGTGGGGACCGCGGCGAATCCCCTGCGGGACGAAGCGTTTTTGGGTGTTGCCGTGTTCTCCCGGTGCCCCGGGCAGGCGGAAAAACACGACGACCTCAGCAGCGCGGCCGCACCCGGCGCTCGCTTTCCCACACGGACACGGCGCCAGGAAAGGCCGCTGCTCTTGTCGCTGTTTACGTTTGTTCTCGGAAGCTTCCCGCATGAGGGGCAATGCGGAGGCCTGCGGCTTCCCCCGCGATGGCCCCGAACGCCCCGCGGTGCCCCAAACGCCACCGGGTCCACGCGGGGCCCCCCCGTGCCCGGCGGCGGCCCCGAGCGCCTCGCGCTCCGCACGGCCGGGGATCCGCTCCGGGCCGCCCTTCCTGCCCTCCCGCTGCAGCC